ACAAAAGCAGACTTCTTTCTTGGGCTTAGTCTTCATTCCAGCAGATCAATCACCCCCCCAGCTGTGGAAATTGAAATTCCAGCAACAGAAGCAGCTTTTTTCCTCCTCCTCTCTTGTAGTCTAGCTGCACGATCAGTTATCTGAGAACCTATCCAAAATTTTGCAAAAGTCAAAATTTTGTTCAAAAGTTCTAATGATCTCCTTTTCTTATTTGAAAAAATTCTATCATTTCTTTCCTGCCAAATACACCATATCAGAGAACAAAGAATCACATCTCTCTCTATGTTCCCACTATCATACTTCTCATCACTCCAGTTCTTCCAAATATCTTTTAAGGAAGATAACTTGAAATCTTTCTTGATATTCAATTTAAACTGGACAGATCTCCAAATAGAGTATACAAACTCACAATTAACAAAAAGATGAAGGTGATTTTCCTCCTCCTTGGAACAAAAACAACACAGCACATCCATGTGAATACCTTTCTTTACTAAATTCTTTTTCGTATTTAAACTACTTCTCAAAGCCAACCAGACCAGAAATTTCACTTTTAGAGGAACAGAAAGCTTCCAAAGATTTAAGCAGTCATACCTTGAGCCTCCATCAATAAGAAAATGATAATATGTTTTAACAGTAAACTTGTCTTTTGCTTCCCAAATCCACTTTCTCTTATCCTCCCTGTGAACAAAATTAATAAGCATAATACTGTTCAACATATCATAATATTGAAAGACCAGATTTCCTGTCAGCTGTTTTTGAAATTTAATATCCCAAATCCAATCATTATTTAATTTTTTCCTCAAACTGGTAATAGTAGCATAAGGGAATGATGCAATGTTATAAAGAGAAGGAAACATAGAAGCCAGAGTATTTGCACCTGTCCATTTATCAAGCCAATAAAGAGTATTATGTCCATTCCCCACATCTATACTAGTACTGCATAAAAAGCTATCAACATTAATAAAAATATTCCTCCAGAAATGAGATAGGGATCTTTTGTCAGAACAAAAATAATCTGACCAGTTCTTATTCTCAAAATACTTATAGAAACTTATTTTTTTCCAGAGATCTATCTTATCATCAAACCATTTCCAAATCCATTTTCCCAACAAAGCTTTATTCATAGTTCTCAAATTTATAATACCCAAGCCACCTAGCTTTTTGGGTCTGCAAATCTCTTCCCATTTAACCAAATTAGATGAATTTTTGTGTTCCAAAGACCCAGTCCATAAAAATCTTCGCCTCATCATATCTATTTTATCAATAAGCCACCCTGGAAATAAGAAAAAAGACATCCAAAAAATTGGCATAGAGGAAAGAACTGCATTAACAAGCACTAATCTTCCTCCCCTTGATAAAGACTTTCCTTTCCATAAGGACAATCTTCTTTCAAACTTATCAATAATAGGAGACCAATCCTCTTTTTTTAATTTTCCAGGTCTCAAAGGAACCCCAAGATAAGTGATAGGAAAACTACCACTTTTACAATTTAACATGCCAGCCAGATTATGTTGCAAGATCTCATTATCTTCAAGAGCAATGAGCAAACTCTTGTTAAAGTTTATTTTTAATCCAGATGCTAATTCAAAACAGTATAAGATCAGTTTCAAAACTGTCAGCTGCTCTCTTTTGTTTTTACAGAAAACTAAAGTATCTGGATTAAAAATAAACTTTAACAAGAGTTTGCTCATTGCTCTTGAAGATAATGAGATCTTGCAACATAATCTGGCTGGCATGTTAAATTGTAAAAGTGGTAGTTTTCCTATCACTTATCTTGGGGTTCCTTTGAGACCTGGAAAATTAAAAAAAGAGGATTGGTCTCCTATTATTGATAAGTTTGAAAGAAGATTGTCCTTATGGAAAGGAAAGTCTTTATCAAGGGGAGGAAGATTAGTGCTTGTTAATGCAGTTCTTTCCTCTATGCCAATTTTTTGGATGTCTTTTTTCTTATTTCCAGGGTGGCTTATTGATAAAATAGATATGATGAGGCGAAGATTTTTATGGACTGGGTCTTTGGAACACAAAAATTCATCTAATTTGGTTAAATGGGAAGAGATTTGCAGACCCAAAAAGCTAGGTGGCTTGGGTATTATAAATTTGAGAACTATGAATAAAGCTTTGTTGGGAAAATGGATTTGGAAATGGTTTGATGATAAGATAGATCTCTGGAAAAAAATAAGTTTCTATAAGTATTTTGAGAATAAGAACTGGTCAGATTATTTTTGTTCTGACAAAAAATCCCTATCTCATTTCTGGAGGGTTATTTTTATTAATGTTGATAGCTTTTTATGCAGTACTAGTATAGATGTGGGGAATGGACATAATACTCTTTATTGGCTTGATAAATGGACAGGTGCAAATACTCTGGCTTCTATGTTTCCTTCTCTTTATAACATTGCATCATTCCCTTATGCTACTATTACCAGTTTGAGGAAAAAATTAAATAATGATTGGATTTGGGATATTAAATTTCAAAAACAGCTGACAGGAAATCTGGTCTTTCAATATTATGATATGTTGAACAGTATTATGCTTATTAATTTTGTTCACAGGGAGGATAAGAGAAAGTGGATTTGGGAAGCAAAAGACAAGTTTACTGTTAAAACATATTATCATTTTCTTATTGATGGAGGCTCAAGGTATGACTGCTTAAATCTTTGGAAGCTTTCTGTTCCTCTAAAAGTGAAATTTCTGGTCTGGTTGGCTTTGAGAAGTAGTTTAAATACGAAAAAGAATTTAGTAAAGAAAGGTATTCACATGGATGTGCTGTGTTGTTTTTGTTCCAAGGAGGAGGAAAATCATCTTCATCTTTTTGTTAATTGTGAGTTTGTATACTCAATTTGGAGATCTGTCCAGTTTAAATTGAATATCAAGAAAGATTTCAATTTATCTTCTTTAAAAGATATTTGGAAGAAATGGAGTGATGAGAAGTATGATAGTGAGAACATAGAGAGAGATGTGATTCTTTGTTCTCTGATATGGTGTATTTGGCAGGAAAGAAATGATAGAATTTTTTCAAATAAGAAAAGGAGATCATTAGAACTTTTGAACAAAATTTTGACTTTTGCAAAATTTTGGATAGGTTCTCAGGTATATGATCGTGCAGCTAGGCTACAAGAGAGGAGGAGGAAAAAAGCTGCTTCTGTTGCTGGAATTTCAATTTCCACAGCTGGGGGGGTGATTGATCTGCTGGAATGAAGACTAAGCCCAAGAAAGAAGTCTGCTTTTGTGGTCTACATATGAAAAAATGTATATGTGTTGATCTTTTGATACAGTTTTTGATATTTTGTTATCAATTGCTAGGGGGTGAAGAATTTAGGTGAATCTGACTGTAAAACTTTGACAATCCAGGGTATTCATTCTTGGTTGGGGATGAATACTTTTTTTTTTGTAACAACCAATTTTGTTTAATTTAGCTGGCTGGATTACTATGTTGGTAATCCATCCTTTTTCTCAAAAAAAAAAAAAAAGGAACTTAATAGATCTAAAGTTATAAGATTAGCGTATATATATTATCTGGAAACTTTCGAATAAAAAATTCAATGTTTGCAAACTATAGTATATCAACGAGCCAGTTTTGACCGGCTCGGGTTATATAAATGCTAAGAAATATAACTAAAGTACATAAGTGACAATGGAGTGAATAATATAGGATTAATGTGCTTGATCTCTTACTAGTTTCTTAGTATTCATTTATATATAATTAATTATTTTAAATTTTGATTTAAAATTAAAGAGAGAAATAATGCCTCATGAATTTTTCAGCCACCGATCAGAGATCGAAAACTACGAAACTCGTAAAAGAACGAAGACTAGGGAGAATTGATCTCTAGCTTACCTTCAAACCTTCCCGACTCCAAGCTCGATCGATCAGCCATAAGCTTTTGAGTTAGGGTTTCGAGAGAGATTTTTGGGGAGAAGAGTGGAAGAGAGAGAGGGTAAAACTGACGGTAGCTTTAGAAAGGCGGTTTTATTGGGAATAAGGGTTTAAGGGGCACTTATTTATTGTTCTGAATAATTTAAATAATGGAAAGGAAATATATGGAAGAAGAAAGAGATAAAATGCTATTTGAAGATTTAGTATGGGGAACGGAAGTAAATTTGTTTCTAATAAAGAGGAGCGAAGTGAAGTGAATATGTATAAAGTTACATAAATATCCTTACATATTGAATGAGAATATGTCTTAGTCATTGATTTTAATGTCATAAGGATATAAATGTCTTATCACATTGTAAAATTTTATATTGGTTTTCATTCCATTCTCTATCTCTAATTGGAGGGGAGGAAAATGAAAGGAAATTTAACCTTCCATTCCATCCTCTAACCCCTAAAAAAAACTCCCAACCAACATGAAATTGAAATTTCACTTTTAACTTTCATTCATTTACCTCCATCCAAACAAGCTGTCGCCCGTCTTAGTGAGCGGACCAGATCTCAGTAGGGAGGAGCTTGTGCACGTGTTTGACTAGTCATGATTTTGATCCGTCTGCGTAAGGTAGCAACAAAACACACATATGTTGCTTAAATTAGTAATGATATGAGAATCATGGTATCCCTCTGTTGCATCACTTTTGCAAATAGATTAATCATATAATATTTCACTAGTTGCGGTTCAGAAAATTTTTAAATGTACGGAGCTTGTTGTGTAGTGGCGGTCCAAAGAGAGAATCCCTGGATCTAATGCGCTGGATACTTTCTCAAGTGATCCTTGTTACTTCTATCAATAGAATAAATTTCTACACCAGTAAACTAAATCTCTCTATTTATACTGATTCAAGATGGATAGTTTCTAGTGTATTAGCTATCAAAATGATAAATATGAAAAGATAATCTCTCAAGTTTGTGGAGCACAACATTGGCGCCATGAACAGTGCTCAGAGAACACTAGTTTGTCCGCTGACCCATTTTTCTTTTATTTTTCCTACATCTCTGCAATAAGAAACTAGTTAAGGATACAAGGTGTTAGCCTTGAGACCAAGTGACACAAGCAGCAAGAAGATTGCAGAAGTTTTGTTACCTTGTTTTCATAGTTTTTCGAGCAAAACATTCATCAGGTGTAATAAAGAAAAATATGACAATTATAAACATCTGGCAATCTTTTTCTTCTGTATTACATTCTTTTCTGGTGGCAACTATCTACGAAGTACAGATACATAAACAAGTATAAATATTGATAAAAGGGCAACAGAACAATCCCCACGGATTTAATAATCATAGCATGTATCCGTTAATCTTTTTCAGATCAAATGGAAGCATGAACTCCGAAGCAAACCAAGAGACTGTGTGGAGGGTTGAAGCTCACATCTTACAGACCTTATCGTTACTGCATTCTTGACCCTGATCATCAGCAGAAAGGAACAGAACACGTAAGCATCCGAAGAGATTAAACACTTCCCAAATCATACACTTTATAAAGTTAAACATACTAATCAGTACTAGGAAAGAAACAACCGTCGAACATGTAAATGTGAGATGAGAATCACATAATGGTCATTACTTAACACTTTCCGAATCATACAACTTCTGGAGTTAAAACAAATTACTCGCTATTAGGAAAGAGGCAAATTTCAAACATGTGAATGTGAGACGAGAATCACATAATGATCCTTGGTTGATTTTGTCGATTATAGCAGTTACACTAAATAGCTAGAGATAAAGATTCAAAAGTTTTTAAGTCATGGCACTAGCTTCTTTGTTTCCAGTCCCATTGATATTGATAGTTTAGGTGATCAAATGAAGGGGCAAAAAGAATCAAAAGAAACTGTTTTACTTTCTCCTCATTTTCAGCATCACCTTTCAACCATCCTTCCGATTCCTGTTTCTTTCCTATCGTCTTTTTCCTCTTTGAATCACTTCGTAATGAAAGACAAATACAAAAGTATATTTTTTTAAATTGAGCAAGCATAATGCCAATGCTTTCCCTTTCTGCCAAATAAAACAGACATACAAAATGATATATCTTCGTTGAATTGTATACAATACTCACCATCTTTTTCTTTCTTGCTTCCAGAATGTTATCGAGGGGAGGCCGACCTAAAATTTTAAAAAAAAAAACATTAAGGAAAAGTTAATAAAACATCCCACAATTTATGAATTAGAATCTTAGTAAATTATATTCATAATCATAGCTAGCAGTTTACAGGACAATAATTTGATTCCAGCTCATGAAAGTCATCATTACTGTTATCCACCTTCATCAAATTGTTTAATTGTGCTCCTCATAAAGTTGGATTCAAAAAACTATTTGCTTCTTCCTCTTTACTGCCACTGTCTCTACTTTTAACTGTATTTAATATTGGTTCTCACATTTATAACTTCTTTTAAAACGTAACTTCCATAACTTGAGTTCAGTCCATGGCTTTCAAATCCAAACGAGTTCAGTACAGTTTCTAATTGCTATCTTGTCTAATAATTAGCTCTATTTCTAATATATGTAATATTCTAGATCCATTTCCTAAAAATCAGATGTATATAGGACATACCTTTCAATAGCCAGTAATTTAGATGTCAAAGCATGATCTGAACCTAGGCCATGAAACATAGTGCAATCTCTAATAATGTTGCTCATATTTCCTTTTTATCACTTTCCTGTATCTTAATTGGTTGGAAGGAAATAAAAGAGCCACAGACCTGAATATTGGAGGGTTACAAAGAGTTGAATGGACATGGTCTGGTAAAGTAGCCAAAGACCTGGATGCTTATACATTGCTATAGAAAGACCTGGATACTTAAACATTGCTATAGTTTACTAATGTTTCGTGATCTATGCTATTCCCATTTGCCATAATAGATAATGTGTTTGGCATAAAACATGGAGTGAGAGATGTTCCAAGGCGAAACGTCCACAATCAATATGAACAGCAGGCCAGTGAGATTCTTACTAATATCAACTACAAATAGAGACCCTTCGTAATCAATTCATCACAAAGAGTTTGCCTACAAACTCGGTGGAATAAAACACTCGAAATTAAAGTGATATTATGAATAACTTTGTACAAATTGGATAACAGAATTTTGGAGTGTGATTTTACCTGTAATTTGCAAGCGATATTTTGCCCAAACACTGTATACTGAATTCGCTACTGTTGCAATCTGCAAAATACAAGGTATGTGTTGGTTATCACCAATAGTTTTATGACTAAATAACTGAATCATTTCAATGTAAACAATAGCACAGCTCGAATATTTACAATGCTAGACATCAAAAACAAGCATTGCCTGATGGTAGCCCGAATAAGGAAAACTATTATTCATGTTTCAATAAGTGAATAGCTGCCCTACAATTATAACAAATTAATTGACAGTCTACAAGAAGAAAACTTACAGGCTCATATTTGGTAATGGCATAAATCCATCCCAGGCCAACTTCCTCATATAATCTTCTAAATGCCTGCAAGTGATCTCTAATCAGCTGGAATCACATTTCTACATCAGCTTTAGAGTTGGAGATAAAGTTTATTCAGCATGTAAACATGTATCTCAATTAGCACCCACTGTTTTGTCACATGTAACGCTTGTCCGGTGTTCATACAGGGGATGAACTAAGTTCTTGCATCCAACTATTTATCCAAAAATAGATGTCACTTTGAGAAACCATAGGAGCACAGTATATAAGTGTCATCAGCAGCAATAGTACTTTCTTTGTTAGGAATACTTCCAACAAAATGAGTTCGGCTGTGTTCAATAAAGTAGCTGTCGATCAAAAAGGTTGACCAAAATTTATGACCAGATGCTAATCCAACTAAAATATTTTAATTCGAAGGTGATTTTCCTTCCAACAGCAATCAATTAACTACTTACAAGCATAGATTATCACTCCCAACTCTCAATTCTCAACATCTCCTAATCCCAAAATTATTTTTACTCTAATAATACAGTCACCCAAATCTTTCTCTCCTGCGGCCCTCTGATATACTTTTAAAGCAATGCTTCACCAAACTCGCCATTTCTAGATGGATGACGCACAGTATGTTAAGATTAATCAATAAAAAGACATAATCATTCCGACAGATAAAATAGCTTAAACCTATATGTCTTTTAATCGGTAAAGATTCTCGAATTTTATTCCTCGATTTTCATTCTAAGTTTCTAACATACAAATGAAAAATAATCGTACGCTCTAGACAAATAAGACTAGAATGCATACTACCAAAAAGTACACCAACAAAAGGGAAATGTCATACTTCGACATCTGTGACCACCGTCCCATCCGACTCAATCGCATGGATCTTCCCCATCACCTACAACAAGACGCAACAAAAATCACCATCAAAACATTCATAATATTTCACACACAAAAAAAAAGAACATCACGAGGACAGAAAACACATACGGTTTCATAATCCAATCCTTGATTCTCCTCAGGAGTGTACTCATCCGAACTGATATCCACAAATTTTATAGCTTTATAGCTCTCATTCCTCTCTTTCAACATATTCACCTAAAAAATAAATAAATAAAAATACGGAGCACGCAACGTTAAGCCCCAGTTGAACCTAACAAATAAAAAAAACGAGCTTGATTTCACCTCGCGCATGCAGAGCGGGCAATCGCCATCGTAGAGCATCTTGATCCTCCAACCGTTTGATGATCTGTCGTTGCCCTTCGATTGAGCGACTGATTCGATCTTAGGGTTGGAGTCTGTAGCAACTTGACACCTGAAAACTACGATAAGATACGGATTACGATGGTAATAAGTCGCAATTTTAGGGTTTTTGAGTGACATTTTGGGAGTCGGATTCTACCAGGTGAGGGATTGCGAGGAGAGCACGTGACTCTGAGAGGTGAACGGATTGGCGATGGAGGAGGAGGAGGAGAGCAGAGCGGGCGATAAAGAGGAAGGCGGTTAGCAGCGGCGCGTAACGCCATTTTTCGAGCCTCGATCTCCTTGATTTTCCTTTTTTTTATTTATTTCTTTATTTTATTTTATTTTTGGGAACTAATTTGTTTTTGAGAGAAAAAAGGAGAGCGACGGTTTCGACGTTTTCGTGTCCACGCAATGTCCGCTCGAGGATTACCGGCCCTGAACCCGGCCGTGTGGCGCGATCGGTGAGCTTAGAAAAGCATTAGGACGACTTTTGATTATTTTGATATCAAACTGTGGTTGGCTTTAAAAAATTAATAATATTTTTAGTGCACATAAAGTTTTTGAATAAGTGTTAGCAGTCAGGCTGATAAGAAAATGAGCCGTCCAAGTGCCTTTACAATTTATTTATTTATTTATTTTTGGTTTTCAAGGTTTGCGAGCAATTTTGATGATTTTTTTTTTTTTGCAGGAAATGGGAGGCATTTCTTTATATAATTTTTTTAAGTGTAAAGGCATTCACATTAGTTTTTTCTAAGTATAAAAGCATTTTAGAATTCTCAAATTGTGGCTCCCAAAGATCAAATGAGGGCTTTTCTTGATATATATATAGTATATATTAGGATTGTCACTCTATTTGTAGCTCCTCTATAATTCAAACTCAGATTGTCACTCTATAATTCAAACTCAGATTGTCACTCTATTTGCAGCTCCTCTAACCGAGATGCCCTCGTCAACAGAACAAAAAATGATGAGAGCAAATATATATCTAGTAAAATTGATCAGCAGGCTTGCGAACAGGTAACTATGGGATCGCCGCGTCACGAACCAAGGGAAAATTCCTTTCGAGCTATTTCGATTTTTATTTACAAACAAATGATCGTAAAACACCTTCACCAAAACACGAAACCGTCTAAAATGTAGAAGCACGGATGGGGGAGGCAAAAGATTCGGCCATAGCTTCCAGCAACAGGGCATTTACAAATTAGATGCAGGGAAGCAGTTTCATGTTAAGTAAGCTGACTTCTCCAAAACAAGCCCAAATCTGAATATCTCTTCTCCCCTTGATCAGTATTCAAGCTTCTTGATTTTCAAGCTTCCACTGGGAACAACGTTTCTTTTACAGCCGTCAACAAGAACAGGAAGTTTTCCACCACAGAAGAACACTTGGTTTCCAGTCTTCCATGTCAGCAGAAACAAATCCCTACAGATGAAAGATGTTCGGTTCAATAAAACAGTAAGCAGTTGAAACAAAATGCCGCAAGACTAACAAGATTTCTTAAGCATAGTAATTCATATCAACAAGAGAAAGACCTAAATCAAGCACAAATGCAATCTTAAATCCTGTGGATCATGATACTGTGACAAAAGCAAGAATAACTAAGAAGGAATTAAAATGATTCGTTGAATGGAGTAAATATCGTATCTAGAGGCAAAACTTTGCTTACTATTAGCAACCAAATAACAACGTAAACTTGATGAAATTGGTATGTGGTTGTTTCGGTTAGTAACACCATCAGCTAAATCATGCTGTTATGCAATGAGAAACCTACACAATTAAGGTGATACCCTCATCGAGATAAACTATGAAGTCACTGTATAAAATAGTACACCTCTCTCCTACAGAGAGAACCTATTTATTTCCCAAGATCCTCGCATGTTCAGCACACTTAATCCAACGAATGCATCAAATAAGTCCACTTTTTTCCTTCAAAAGATAAGGACAGTAATAATTCAAATTTTTTGACACCTCAAATCGTAATGTTCACAAGCTGACATATAGATGTATTAATAACAGCGAACTTTTGTCTTCCAGGTAACGTCTTTAAGAACGTGATCAGTAACAGGATGATGCCAGCAACTGGCCTCCTTCCATGCACACTGATGAAGCAGCGGTAGCTGGTAAGCAAAGTTCTCCATGCTCAACGTGTTACATTGATTTACCAATGAAAAGGAGGCTAGCAACAGTGTCCACCTTATACTACACTATATAGTATTCCAGTTAACTTATTGGTTTTTTGTTTCTTTTTTTTGGGTTTTTTTTTTTTTGTGTGTGTGTGTGTGTGGGGGGGGGGGGGGGGGGGGGGGGACAAGAAACAAAATTCCTTCAGAATTGTTCAAATAAATTGCAGCGAAGTGGTGTTCCTAAGGACCTGAAATAAGTGTAGGAACAGAAATTGAAGGAAAGTGATGGATATATGAAAACTCATATGAAAAGAGATTACTAATTGAATATAATACTTAAAATTCTGGAGAAGATGGCTGAATTTGAGTAAAATTGGACTAGAGAGAGGGTCAATATGATGAGCTAGCAATTGAAGTGAGGGTCAATATGATAAGCAAAGTTCTCCATGCTCAACGTGTTACATTGATTTACCATAGAAAAGGAGGCTAGCAACAGTGTCCACCTTATACTACACTATGTAGTATTCCAGTTAACTTATTGGTTTTTTGTTTTTTGTTTCTTTTTTTTGGGTTTTTTTTTTTTTTTTTTTTTTTTTTGGGGGGGGCCTCTAGGTATGAACAAGAAACAAAATTCCTTCAGAATTGTTCAAATAAATTGCAGCGAAGTGGTGTTCCTAAGGACCTGAAATAAGTGTAGGAACAGAAATTGAAGGAAAGTGATGGATATATGAAAACTCATATGAAAAGAGATTACTAATTGAATATAATACTTAAATTCTGGAGAAGATGGCTGAATTTGAGTAAAATTGGACTAGAGAGAGGGTCAATATGATGAGCTAGCAATTGAAGTAGAGGTTGCAGGGATGGTATGTTTGCCTTGACAAGCACATGATTTCGTGTATCCTACGTGATGAAGTAGGTAGAATGGTCTTGCTAGGTAGAAACTAGAAAGTTTTGCCACTTCAAAGTTTCCTTGAACGAGGCATCGCTGTAAAGCAATTTATTCAACGAAACATGACACTAAACATCCAATGATTTCATAATAAAGTTCCCAAGAAACCAATAACCTAGATCTGGCTTGCCCAGCTAACCGAGTATAGTCAATAGTCCCACTTCAATACATCTGAAGAATATTCTTTTTGGCAAAAGCTACAGTTTTGAAAATAGAAGTTTGATATACTCTAATCAAAGATTCTTACGTCTAATAGCTCTATTCCTTGATTTCCCTTTTCATTAATATGAATGGTGAGCTTAGGTCACTTTCATTTTAACAAAAAATGCAACAGAAGAAAGAAGAAACAACTACACCAGAAAGAAGATAAAAAGTTATAATTTGTTTTTAGCAAATCAGATATCCAATTTAAACTCTAGTTAGCTAACAACATGTGGACATGGTATTTGGAAGCAATATTCAAATAGATTGGTAACTATATTCACATATGCGTAGGTGTGGTTAACTCCCATGATTAAAATTCTATGAGAAAAATGTAGAAATATCATAAGAAGAATACTGAAGTTTTAGGTTAGACTAAAATAAGTTTACCTCAAATAGAACTTCACATTTGCTATCTGATGGCTCGCTAACATATATCAGGTAATGATGACTGATTGACCGGATTCCAGCATACATCAAGTGAACTTATAGCAACATGGATAACACATACTTATCTGTGAATGCTAAGTGAAACCTGCACCATGGAATTTGGGGGAAAAGCCAAAATAGATAAGAAAATAAATCTCTGACCATAATCATTAACGAAAATGAAATAAACATAACAGACTACTATTCTGTGCATAGATGAATTCCTTCTGGTATCTTCCCTGTACAAGCAAGTCTATGGCTGCAAATCAAAAGGAAACCAACAAAACAACCATTAATGAATAGAGATGCAAAACTGAACAACGCTGCTAGGTGTTGCATTAGGCTGGAAAGGAGAGGCTAACATCTGACTGCAGAATATAAATATATTATAACAATCGTCAAACAAATATATAAGAGCCTCAACTTTCCGTACGTCACTCACACTTGTCGAATCCTGCAAAACACTGATACAGCAGAGTCAGTTAATCAGAGTTTCTAATATCAGCGATGCCGTGGTGCATAACTCAAGAGTAATAAGAATAGGTAGCCTAAACATAATATAGTAAGTTATTAAATGATGAAATCTGATGTATGACAGTTCTATGGTCCTTCCCAACTATTTCACATCCAAACACCCACTATAGCAACAATACATATATAAGCACCCAAATACATTGAGGGAACAGAACACATATGCCCACCTACTTTCTAAGAAACCATCCAACACAGCTTCAAGTCCTATGTCCATATTCACATTTCTCTCTTTTATAAGCAAAACACGAGTTCAACATACGCTTAATTAGCAGACACAAAAAGACCCATACTTTCAACAAAAAGAAGGGAAGGAAAATAAACCACAGCCTTCCCCTCCTCATCCCTATCCTAATATCCGGAACTCATACTACAAGAACGAGAGAGCCGATAGGATAATGGCGGCACCCCTATTCCAGTCACGACACCAATCTCCTCATCTCCTGCTACAGTACTGTATTGCTTCCGGCACCCAGGGCAGCGTCCATCAGCCTCAAGTATCCTCTTGTGGCAGAACAGACATAGGTGGAAACCACAAGAACATGGAAGGAAGCTCGAGTCAGTGAGATCCAGGTCCTCATAGCATATAGGGCATGACGATGGTGGGCGAGAGAGAATACCACGGTGGTTATTAGCAGGGAAGCTCCGTTGCTTCGATAGGTTAGGCAGGCTCTGAGGGCGGAAGGCATCATCGGGTCTCCAGGCTCTAGGAATAGTTCGATCAGGCTCCTGCTTCAAAGGATCAACAGGCTTTGTTCTCGATGCGGTTATCTGTGAATCATCAGCTTTAAGCTGATGATCCTGCCCATTGTCGGGGGATACAGAGAGGGCATCTGCCATAGCTTCCCAGTCATCAAGGCCACCTCCATCCTTCTCTCCTCTCTCCTCGTCGTTCTCATCCTCAGCATCACTGACACTTCTTGAGCAGGATCCAGTACTGCTGCTCCCACTGCTGCTAGTGCTATTACGATTGGGACACTCCTTTCTCGAAGGTTTCGCAGTGGGATGGTGGGTCGGGGATTCTGCATCGCTGTTGTCATGGAGAGTTGATCCATCATGCTCCAAATCTGCAACTGCAGACTGACGACGCTTTCCCCTTTCTTCTGATCTCCCCTCTGAAATTGACTGAAGGGGTGAGGTCGGAGAGGTACCCATACTTGTGTCTTTGAAGTCTTTGTGCTTTACTGCAGTTACCAACCAACCACACAAAAGATAACACAATTATAGACATGCACAAAACCTTGTCCCCGTAATAGAAATAGTTGGAAGTGAGGGGCTTCAAAATGTGAATATTAGCATCATATCAAAATCAAAATTATAAAGTAGAAGGAAGAATTCATTTTTCACAATACAAAGCAAGATAGATATAAAGAGATCAAACCATCTGTTTTACTGAATTCTCCGGAAAGGACACGTAAACACAAAATAGGACTGGAAAAAGATAGGAACAATTTTTTGCAACCAAATTCCAAAGCGACAACCAATAACTGCATTTAGTTTCAGAAAATGAACAGGGCATCTGGCTCAATTTCATGGAAATAAGTAATATCCAAAAATAGAGAGGTGACAGAAGAATAAATGAGTGAAAGTTAGGAAGAAAACAATATAAAAGTTTGATTTTTGCTAAATAAAATTTTTAATTTATCACTTTTTCCAACTAAAAAAATATAAAGATAAGCAAAAGCAGAAGTACCAAGAGATTTTTTTTTTTTTAAGTCAAGAAAAGAGGTCCCTTTTTCTCATATGCTTGAGAAAAATAACCTAGTAACAAAGTTAATTCTCAAATCTCAAAGAATAAGAAGCAAATAGTAAGATATTATGTATCATGAATCAATCATCTCAAAATCACAGGAAAAATATCAAATTGGCAAGGCAGCATCAAGCTGATCCAATTCCCCCAAATGCCTACACAAATAACATGTGAACAACAACGGATATTCACAGGCTAAATAGAAAAATTGCAAAAGGTATTCAATTGTTCAACATGCAATAAACAATAACCCTAAAATTAACAAAAACATCCAATTTCGAAAATACAAAATAAACTACGTTAAATTAAATTACCTTGAGAAAGCCATTGCTCCCTCCTCGCATCAAGCTTACACTGCTTCAACTTCGCCGACCTATTCGCCTACAAACACCCAAACAAACAATAAATCCTCAAAAAACGCCCAAAAAATCGATTTTTGAATTCGAACCGAGAGCTTACCCTCTTCTTCTTCCCGGTTTCCCTCGCAGCCGTGGGAACCACTGGAGCGTCGTTGGCCATGGCGTCGAATCCCATCTCCATAGAAAACCCTAGCCCTCAAAAAACCCTATAGAGAGAGAAAAGGAGAGAGGAAACGAAGGGGGATTTGGACAAGAGAGGGAGGGGAGAGATGAGAGGGAACTGGATAACGAAAGGGGGGGGGGGGGGATTTCGGTTTCGTTTCTTCCGCTTCAAGCTCCGTAACGGGGGGCCGCCTTCAATTGAGGGCCTCGGTACGATTCTAATTTACGGTTATGCCCTTGGATCCGGCTTTTATTTACGGGATATTTTAATCCTGAGCTAGTAGTTTCAAAAGTTTAAAAGATCTGAAGGGCTTTTTTAAAGGGTTAATTACAAAGTGGCGCCCCGTAATTCTAGTTGTTACAAATGGACCCCTATAGTTCTAATTGCTGCGAATACCTTCCCTTATTAAACTATTTCTAACCCACCCTTTTAGAAGTGAAAAAAATAGCAATTGGGTATCTATCTTCAACGGTAGAACTATAATAAGGGGTCTATCAGCCTCCTCAACATGTTTAACGATTTCAATATTAAAATAATTCACTTAAGGGGTCTGTTCGCAATAAGTATAACTATAAGGGATCTATTCAAGACAATTAGGGCTACATGTTTTTTTTTCTTCAATTGGATGATACTATAAGGGATATGTTTGCAATTAACCTTGTTATGGTGTTCATTCACCTAATATACGGTTTTTTGCAAAATGATGTAATGACAACCAACCACACAAAAGATAACACAATTATAGACATGCACAAAACCTTGTCCCCGTAATAGAAATAGTTGGAAGTGAGGGGCTTCAAAATGTGAATATTAGCATCATATCAAAATCAAAATTATAAAGTAGAAGGAAGAATTCATTTTTCACAATACAAAGCAAGATAGATATAAAGAGATCAAACCATCTGTTTTACTGAATTCTCCGGAAAGGACACGTAAACACAAAATAGGACTGGAAAAAGATAGGAACAATTTTTTGCAACCAAATTCCAAAGCGACAACCAATAACTGCATTTAGTTTCAGAAAATGAACAGGGCATCTGGCTCAATTTCATGGAAATAAGTAATATCCAAAAATAGAGAGGTGACAGAAGAATAAATGAGTGAAAGTTAGGAAGAAAACAATATAAAAGTTTGATTTTTGCTAAATAAAATTTTTAATTTATCACTTTTTCCAACTAAAAAAATATAAAGATAAGCAAAAGCAGAAGTACCAAGAGATTTTTTTTTTTTTAAGTCAAGAAAAGAGGTCCCTTTTTCTCATATGCTTGAGAAAAATAACCTAGTAACAAAGTTAATTCTCAAATCTCAAAGAATAAGAAGCAAATAGTAAGATATTATGTATCATGAATCAATCATCTCAAAATCACAGGAAAAATATCAAATTGGCAAGGCAGCATCAAGCTGATCCAATTCCCCCAAATGCCTACACAAATAACATGTGAACAACAACGGATATTCACAGGCTAAATAGAAAAATTGCAAAAGGTATTCAATTGTTCAACATGCAATAAACAATAACCCTAAAATTAACAAAAACATCCAATTTCGAAAATACAAAATAAACTACGTTAAATTAAATTACCTTGAGAAAGCCATTGCTCCCTCCTCGCATCAAGCTTACACTGCTTCAACTTCGCCGACCTATTCGCCTACAAACACCCAAACAAACAATAAATCCTCAAAAAACGCCCAAAAAATCGATTTTTGAATTCGAACCGAGAGCTTACCCTCTTCTTCTTCCCGGTTTCCCTCGCAGCCGTGGGAACCACTGGAGCGTCGTTGGCCATGGCGTCGAATCCCATCTCCATAGAAAACCCTAGCCCTCAAAAAACCCTATAGAGAGAGAAAAGGAGAGAGGAAACGAAGGGGGATTTGGACAAGAGAGGGAGGGGAGAGATGAGAGGGAACTGGATAACGAAAGGGGGGGGGGGGGGATTTCGGTTTCGTTTCTTCCGCTTCAAGCTCCGTAACGGGGGGCCGCCTTCAATTGAGGGCCTCGGTACGATTCTAATTTACGGTTATGCCCTTGGATCCGGCTTTTATTTACGGGATATTTTAATCCTGAGCTAGTAGTTTCAAAAGTTTAAAAGATCTGAAGGGCTTTTTTAAAGGGTTAATTACAAAGTGGCGCCCCGTAATTCTAGTTGTTACAAATGGACCCCTATAGTTCTAATTGCTGCGAATACCTTCCCTTATTAAACTATTTCTAACCCACCCTTTTAGAAGTGAAAAAAATAGCAATTGGGTATCTATCTTCAACGGTAGAACTATAATAAGGGGTCTATCAGCCTCCTCAACATGTTTAACGATTTCAATATTAAAATAATTCACTTAAGGGGTCTGTTCGCAATAAGTATAACTATAAGGGATCTATTCAAGACAATTAGGGCTACATGTTTTTTTTTCTTCAATTGGATGATACTATAAGGGATATGTTTGCAATTAACCTTGTTATGGTGTTCATTCACCTAATATACGGTTTTTTGCAAAATGATGTAATGAGAGTCCTAGCAAAACTAACTCAACCATTTGGCCGACTCCCACAGTCGTCTCTCGACCTTAGGGGAAGGAGAGCCCTAGTCAACTCTCAAAAGTTCTAGGCATTTGATTGCTTAGTAGAATTACAAGCCCTTGGTTTTTTATCAAGGTAAGTCCAAGGCGCGACAGATGGTCGAATCCTCCGGTGCAACTCGACCATCATGGCTAATTTCAAGACCATGGTACCTTATCAGGGGTAAACCCAAGGCACAATCACAGAGGACCCGGGCCCCACCGACTTATCGAGTCAACTCTCTGGTGTCGACACCAAAGGCGATATTGGTCGGCATGAGAGATCTGGACCTCTCATACGAGTCGACATCTTTATATCGACTCAAAAGACGGTTATTAGCTAAGACGAGACGATATTCCAACCAGTCGGACATGCCGACATTCTTGAGTCAACGCGAAAGGCGGTGTCGGTCGACCCCATCATCAATGACGACCCTACTTAGGGTACTCGACCACTCATTGGGCAATTCTTAGAAGCAACTGGAGGGACATCCCATGCTACCAATTAAATTGAGAATTCGACCTCAGCTCCAAGCCTCAATCCCAGAGCATTGTCAACATTGCCATCCACCTCGGATAAGTCTTATTTGGATTTTGGCCTGATAGGTCTCCATGACTTGTCAGCTCAATCACTTCCTAGAAAATGCGGAGACACCCTCTCCCATGCTGAAGTGACTTCTCATCCAGTCGCCAACCGACACTTATAAAGCTAGGGATGATTCAGTATGCCTACGTGCCTCATACCACGCTATCAATCACTTCCCGGAAAAAATACGGAGACACCATCTTCCATGCCGAAGTGACTTCCCCTCCAGTCATCAGCCGACACTTGTAAAACAAGGAATGACTCACCCTCCAGCTCACATTTGGTGACCGCCATTTTGCATGGTCGAACAGATTAATCTGCGGAGGATCATCCTCTTTATATACAAAGGCTATTCTCCATAGCGAAGGGGGAGAGGTTCGCAATCTAAAACCCCCTAAAGCATAGATGACACAAAAAGAAGAACACACAGCTCTTCGTCTAAACAGAGGAGCTCACATAGACCCTCTAGGCATGCACGTTACCACCTTAAGAACCACATCTGTTCTTGACCTTCCTCATCCCCATTCGAGTTTCACTAACTTGACTCTCGGAGGGACCACGAGGGAATCGGTCCTCGTCCTCTTATGGTTTCTTCTTATATGCGCAGCGTGAACATCGAGCCCTCGTTCAAGAACTAGGCATAAAGTCGACGAAGGGAGTGGACCCTCCATCATCCTTCATCACCCCGCAATCATCCTCTTCTGGATTAATCAGATGTTTGATATTGATCATCAACAAACCTTTTTCAAAAATAAGATTTAGGGGACTACTTCTGTTATTGTGTCTTCAGTCGTCAAATTATGGCCCCTTGTCAACAACAGGCAATATCCTCCGTCATGCACCATTTAGTCAACTCGACGCTTAGGACAGCCAGAGTTCCGACCTAGCTGACTCGCTGAGTCAACATCTCGTTAGGTCGACTCAGTTCGACTCAAATGGCGGTACTTATTGGTCCTCTCATCAAAGACGACTCACTACAAGTCCACTCAACCAGATAATTAGTATGCGTCTCGCTAGATCGACTCGAAAGACGTTACTTCTGAACACATCTCGATATAAGTCGAAAGACAACTTTGACCTCGAATCCCCCGCTGACAGTGCGTCGACATCATATTAAATACTTGGCAGGCGCCATCATTTCTTCATCATCGATACTATTTACGACACATCGAACCACGCCGCCTTCATGCGCCACCTATCACATTTCACTAATGCCGAAGTGATAGAGCTCTCCGTGACCACTCCACAGTTAACACGCGTAAAGTCGACGTTGACTCAGCCGCCAGCTCAGACTTGGTGTCAAAAGACTAAAATACCCCTCCTGCATGGCTATAAGAGGAAAAAAAACTATTCCCAATGGGAGGGTAAGTAATTTCTTAGAATTTTTCTCCATTGCACCAGAGAACTCGCACAGTTCACCACTTTCCCACTCAAGTATATTATAGGCGTCAAAAAATACTGATAGATATCCAAACATAGCTCAAGACAATAAGAAGATCATCCAAAGATCACATAAAATAACCTTACGCTGTCTCGAAATGATCAAGATAGTGTAGACTGTCTCACACGCGAGACAAAGTTGACTGTCTCACGGTGCGAGGCAGTGATGACTGTCTCGCACATGCGAGATAGTGTAGACTGTCTCACAGTGCGAGACAGTGTCTACTGTCTCGCACAAGAGACAGCTCTGAAATGATCAAAAGTTGCTGAAATAACTGCATAACACGTGTCCATTAACTGCCAAAGAACGTGAAAAATAACGTGGGCGAGAATCACGTGGATAACTATCAAAATAACGGAGTTTGAAACGTGGGAAGACAATTACAATGGAAACCGTCGGGCAGTTTGGGTTTTCCGAGACAGTCTTTACTGTCTCGGAAGCCGAGACAGCCATTACTATAAATACCTCCCAATGGCCATTACCGAGGAAGATTCGAGTAGATCGGAGCATAGAGAGGAGAATACTTGAGCCTTTTGATAATTCATTGAGATTTAAGCTTCGACTTAATCTTGAGAAGAGTGTTCATCTTACTTTGATAAGATATTCACTGATTTTCATTCTTTGTTCATCTTACTTTGATAAGATATTCACTGATTTTCATTCTTGCTTCTAAACGAAGGAAGAATACCAAATACTCTCACAATCTGTGAATCGGTGGTCCACGAGTCAAAGCACTCCCGGCACAGGCAAAGTCCCACAAAGCAGAAATCGATAAACGATTTTTGTGTTATTTTCTGAAAAAATTATAATTTTTCTTTTGTTGTGTGAAAAAAGTCTTATAAAAAGGCTATTTCTTTTGAATTTGCTGTAATCGACCGAAGATATAATGAATTCCACAATAAAATCAACTTTTGATGAAAACATACATCACTAACTTGATCGTCGGAGGAACAACAGGAGAACTAGTCTCTGTCCTCTTACGTGTCGCTATTTGTTCACGAAAGAGCAACTCAACTCAAAACCAGATATTTCGAGAAGTTAGCGGCCTCTAATTTAACCTTACCCATATTACATTATTTGTATGATTATTAACATCAACAACTTCCAAATCACTTGATATTTTGGGGAATGGGTCAGAATATCAATTTTCGGTGGACTAGTGTCAAATAGGGTGTGAAAGATTTACGGGGCTAATATGAAAAAAACATTAAAATTTCTCAAATCATAGTTTAAATGCTCAACTTAACTAAAAACGTGAAAGCATTCTTAATAAAATTAGCCTCAAATTCATTAATCTAAAATCAAGATGATTGTAAATCATCATATGAGTACGTGTATTCGGACGCGGATCTAAATACTTATATTTTTAAAAGGTTAGGATATGCGCAATGGATATGTATCCGGTTGGATATAAGTACGTAGTATATGTTTATGTATGTAGAATTTATAAGGGGATAAATCCAAAGATCTTTATTCTTTACATCCCTTTTTTGGACTGAGAAATTAGAAGAGAGCCATAGGCAATTAGGGGATAGTGGTTTTTAGGGCCACTATATGAGGAGATTTTTGCATTTAATTTCAAGATTAATTTTCCGAGGTGGGAGATTAATGTGCAATAAGATAACTAATTGTGGGCCCTTGCCGTGTATAATTACACTTGCACGCCATCTATGACCATCATCTTTGTTTGAACACATGATTAACTCTTTGTTAGTCAAGTTAATCTAAACCGAACATCTGTGTTTTTGTGATTTAGTTTTTGCTTGTCGAGGCTTGTAATATCTATTAGCAGAGGTATATTTACGTCTCTATTTGTTATAATGATTAAGTAAAAAATTATGTAGATGTAGATGACTAGAGTTACGCAAATTAAGGTCACAGTGTAATAACACTAATGATAGTTTAAAGAGAATATTGATATTTTAAGTAGCGAAACCCTCTATTTCATAGCTTGCTTTTACTCTACAGGTTGATGCATGGAAACTCTTAGTTTTTTTGGTTTTCTAAATCTAAATATCTGGAACAACGTGGCATAAAACATGTTCATGTCTAAATTTTTGAGGAGAGCTTTGTCATAAATATTTCACGTTCTTCAAGTCTCCAACTACTCAAAAAACGACTCAACACTATAAAATGAGGGGGGAAAAATAAAAAATTCATGTCTAAATCTTTATTGTTAAAGTTCATGTCAAAGATGTAGAATATTTTTATTATTGTAATAAATGCAGGATTCTTCAAAGTTGTAAAGCTGTTGGAGTTGGAGCAAAAATAATTTGGAGAATTTGACTTTTGTTTCCCCATTTTGGAGAAATTCTGTTGGAGATGCTCTTAGGATTTCAACATTAACATTGCCATTTGGCCCATTTTTAGTCACTATTGCAAGAAACTTATTTATAAAAACCGACCCATTTGCATTTTATTTGTCAAAACCGACCCAGTTTCAGCCAAGTGGTTGAAAGTGGGTCGGTTTTGACAAATAAGTTGAGAATGAATCGTTTTTTATAAATAAGTTTCAAAATGGGTTTGGTTTCAAAATTTGTCCATGAGATCTATTATATGCTTCAACAAATGCCACCAAAACTCTCCCTCCACAAATTACTATTTTACATTCAAAATTGGTAGACCATCATTCACTCTATTTTCCAAACTACATCTTTTTATTTTTTCTTCAAACAGAAGTAAACAGAGAGACGGCACCCCCTCAACTCCTAGAGAACCGCGGAAACGACCGCCCCCATCTCTTTCTCTCTAAAAAATACTTTTCAAACCCCATTCTCTCTCTCTCTCTCTTTCTCTCTCCTCCGCCGTCCTCCGATTTCCTCTCTCTCCAACCACCGCTGATCTCTCTCTCTCACCCGATCTAGGGTTTCCCCGCTCCCAGATCCCGATATCCGAAACCCTAGATCGAATCTTCAGCTGAATCCGATCCAGATCTCTCTCTCTCTCTTCGATCATGGAGGCAATGGAGGAATTGACTCAGCTCTCTCAGTCAATGGTGCAGGCCGCAGCTCTCCTCGCCGACGAGGACGTCGACGAGTCGTCGCCGGCGTCGTCGAAGCGGAGCTCCACTTTCCTCAACGTCGTCGCTCTCGGCAACGTCGTAAGTTGAACCTGGTTTGGCTTCTGAGTTGTTGTTTCGATTATTGTGCTGATGAGCTGATTCTTGGTAGGGCGCGGGGAAATCTGCGGTGCTGAACAGTTTGATAGGGCATCCGGTGCTGGTAATGATGGGAAAATTTTGAGTTGTTGGGTGATTTTGTAAATTTTGAGTGTAATTGTGAAATTGATGTGCAGCCGACGGGGGAGAATGGGGCGACGAGGGCGGGGATCAGTATTGACTTGCAGAGAGATGGGTCGCTGGGCAGTAAAGCGATCATATTGCAGATTGATAACAAATCTCAGCAGGTTTCAGCGAGTAAGTAGGAGAATTTTTCCTGTTCGGGATGAACGTTATTTGTGAATTGAGTTGATGTTGCGTTCTTATAGTTGGTTTGGCTGTTGTATAGGTGCTCTTAGGCATTCTCTACAAGATAGGTTGAGCAAGGGGAGCAGGGGTCAAGGAGATGAGATATATTTAAAACTCCGCACCAGTACAGGTTTGTTTGCCCATTATCTCTCCCATGCAGGATTATTCTTTACACAATAATTACATAACAAGGTAGATACATGACAATTGTCGAGTATCAGAGGCATATGAGTTGCATGAATCGAGCACAGGTTGCCAGTGAGCTTGCTAAGCTGGTATGACCATACACAAGCATGGACACAAGCATCTGTGATGTAAAACTTGGATTATTTCGAGGTCTATCCTCCATCATTTACCTCTACCACACAACACTTGTAAACACAGTGAGGTAGGAACCGGTCCTGGCCGGCGTGCTAGGTAATTTGGTTAGACCACTGACTACATGTTAGGCATCCCCAAGCACCTAGAACCGTATGGTCGTCCTTTAAACAATACATACAGATGTTCCCTTATTGGGTAAAAATTTCTGCAGTACATATTGGCATAATGATCACATGTTAACCAAAATTAAAACGGAAAATCCTAAAGTTTCAACATAAAGATGGGGAAAAGGATGAAGAGGGTAGTATTTGCTATCATCTTGCTTGCCTTTCTTCTATCTTCTGCTCCTTTGCTACCTCCCTTTCATCACCTTATTCTCTTTGAGTATCCCAAGGAGGTTGCATTTGAATTGTGTCACAAATAGGTTCAGATTGATGTTGAAAATAAAAAAATGACTTATGTAACGCTTGACATCCTGTTAAGGGTTTAGGAAAAGAAAAAGCATAGAAAAAACGTAACGCATAATGTAGTTTATATTGTTTATTAATTATTTAGATATTTTATAAATACTAACAATTCATAATAACTTTAATACTTAGAATCATCAAACTTTTCAAACATTGCATCACAATTATCAAATATAAAAATATAGTATCACAATTTCTTAACAAAAGTTAGTCATATATGACTAACAAACATTCAAAAAAGCATCAACAAATGATCAAATACGTTACTATCATCAAGATTAAGGCAATAAAAATAGGTCTAAAATAAACCAAACACTTCCAACTCTCGAGTTCTTAGCTTTACAAAAATATTCTAATTCCTCAAGTTCACCACATAAACCAAACTAAACATGATTATGTAACAAAAGTAAGAAATTTTGCATATGCACAGATCATGTGCAAACTTAATTTCACAAAATCTAGTATTAGCTGAAAACTAAATACTAAAATCTAATCAAAATCAAGTAATACCTGAAAGTAATTATCTTCCCAACACAATTAACCCACTAATTAATCTTTGTACTCTAATTTTATGACAGATCAAAAATTATGTTGAAGGGTAAAATAATGGAGCAACAAGTTTGATATGATTTAGGGTAAATTGGCAATATAAAAGATTGAAATTTGGAAGATAATTTCAGAATCACTATTTATTTAAAGGATATAAATTGAGGTGCCCGATACACAATCATAAAATGAAAAGTTTACCTTATCGGAGTCGCAGAAGCCGCCAATAGTTGGAGGAGCTTCAGAGGAGGTAATGAGTTATGGTTTGGGTTGGAGGACTCGAAGAGATTGCATATTTGCAGGAAGAGAATAGGGTGATCGAGACTAAAAGGGGTAGGGTTTTAATGATTCGAAACGGTGGAGATGCATCCTATTGTCCTAATCAGAGATGCAATTTAAACTAAAAAACATCATGTTAATTGGTTATATAATGTAACGAACATTTAACGCAATATAACGTGTTTTTTTGGGTTAAATAGTTTCAGCATTAAATGGATGTGTTACATAACAAGAGGGCATCGTTAAGTTACAAAATGGGTTATAACGGGTTTCTTCAGCACTGGTTCAGATAATGGCTGATAACAAATTTCTGGTATTTCTGATTCGTTCTGACCAGTTTTGACAATAAAACATGCAAAAAGGAACTTATTTTAGGCTAATTTCTTTTTCCTTGTTGGACTTTCCTTATTCTAAAATAAAAAGCATGCAAAGATGGAGTAGATACTAAGTTGAGGGCTGCATTGCTTTAATGTGTTGCTTCAAAGGTGAGAGTGACTTAAAATGCTGGAGGAATAATAGCTTTTAGGGTTGGAGAGGAAAACATGAAGTAAACCAAACAAGATCATATGTTGTTTTCCCCCCTCTTATGGTGGATGTGATTTGGATTTCCATGCACTTGGAGCAGAGAGTGCTAAGTTTTGCTTAACTGAGTGCAGTTGTTGGTGGGAACGTTCTCTCGTATAGCTATTGCTTGGTCATCTACCATTTGATACTTGCATAAGGTGATCTTAATGCACATTCACGATAATTTGAGATAATCGGTCAGTTAATGTTCATAAAACCGTCATGTAACATAACTTATTTTCTGGTAGGTCACTTAGTTATTGCCTTATTGGGTTCCCTTATCTATGCCACTATTTTGCTGCACTTTAATTTCCGCCTAGTTGCTTCTGTACAGCTACTTTGTTATCAATCTCATATGTTCTTCTTTCCTCCAGCTCCTCCGTTGAAATTAATTGATCTTCCAGGCTTAGATCAGAGGGTTATGGATGATTCAATGGTGAGCAGCTGCTAGCATTTTTTTACATCTAAATGTTTGATTCATTTCATGACTTCTTGTCTTCCTAATACAGCCGTCAGCGTGCATGATTAGACATGGATTAACCTTCACTAGGAATTAAGTGTAGAATGTAGAAGTTTATGAACAAACATCAATATGAGGCTTAACGTTTCTATTGTTTTTCTCTAGAATGATTTTTATGTGATAGTTGTTAAATTCCTATTCCACACATATCAGATCTATTAGTGATTACTTTTTTAGTGTCTGCAATTTAGATGGTTGGTGAATATTTTTTTTTATTTTTTTTTGGTTTTTTGGTAAATGATGGGTGTAAATCTCTTACTCAGGTTACTGACTACGCTGCACGTAATGATGCAATATTACTAGTTGTAGTGCCAGCTGCCCAAGCACCAGAAATTTCTTCTTCTCGTGCCCTCAGACTGGCCAAGGAACTTGATGCTGAAGGTTTGTATTTCCTCTGCGCTGTTTTCGTAACTATGAAAATAAAAATTAGAACAATGTTTATGCAAAGTTTGGGTGTTTAGTAAATGGTTTTGCTGCACAGCCTATACATAAATTATGACCATTGGCTCATGATAGAACTTTTTATCTATTTGTAGGGACAAGAACAATTGGAGTTATTAGCAAAATTGATCTAGTAACTACAGACCAGAAGGTTCTTGCAGCTGTTCAGGCTCTTCTGTTGAATCAGGGGCCATCAAAAACTTCTGATATTCCATGGGTGGCTCTGATTGGCCAATCTGTTTCTATTGCTTCAGCACAAGCTGGATCAGTTGGTGAAAATTCACTTGAAACTGCTTGGAAAGCTGAGAGTGAAAGTCTCAGATCTATACTGACTGGAGCCCCTCAGAGTAAGCTTGGTAGGGTAGCTTTGGTAGATACCCTTGCCAAACAAATACGTAAGCGAATGAAAGTCAGGCTTCCCAACCTTCTCTCTGGGTAAACTACTACGAGTTCTTTTGGCATAGTTTCTAGCTATATTGTGTTATTTAGTGACGAAGTACTAGCATCTTCTGTATCAATTGATGTCAGAAATGAATATGCAGCACGGTTTCAAACTTCAATTCAGCTCCAAGTGATGTGTCTGTCTGAAGTTAGCATAAGTTAGCACAGATATATTGTTGATTTTAAGTTAGCATAACTATTTCTGAAGTTTATTATAGAGAATGAATGAGGAAAAGCAGGACTAAGAACTTGTGTAGTTGATCTCAAAAGTTTGTTGTCTACTGAAACTATGCTAACTTCTGTTTAAAAAAGATATTTCTTTGCTTCCTTCTTTTCTCTTTATTTTTTAATTCTTTTTGAGTTACAGCCTCTCTGTTCTCTCAAATATTTTCAGGTTGCAGGGAAAGTCTCAGATTGTGGGGAATGAATTGGTAAGACTTGGTGAACAAATGGTACACAGCGCTGAAGGAACTAGGGCCATTGCTTTGGAACTCTGCAGAGAATTTGAGGATAAATTCCTCGAACATATTGCCACTGGTGAGGTCAGTAGTTACTTCAGTCTCTTCTTTTATCATTCCATGGTGTGCGCATGCAATTTATTCAATTCAAGTTTGTTTGAGTTAATAGAGTTGCACCACATGCTTGTTTTTTGTACGTTTTTGTTCCTTCATGGAAACATACATGCAACTAGATACATGTAGAATCGTCCTTTTTGTCTTGAAGTTCAACACCTTTTGTCAATATCATGATGGTGTAGACAATTTCAGAGTTTCATTCGCATTCATTTGGTTCTAGATGCTTATTATCATAACTCTCCAATTTTTCTAGTGCGTTATATTTGTTTCCTTTGGGGGTACTATAAATTATGTACTGTGATTTATTATCAGGGTGGAGGATGGAAAGTTGTTGCTAGTTTTGAAGGAAATTTTCCCAACAGAATCAAACAGCTTCCACTTGACAGACATTTTGATATAAATAATGTGAAAAGAGTATGTTCTCACTTATAAATAACTTTTATATCTCTTTGACGATTAAAGTCTAATTGTTCTCTGGTATCTTATCCTCTATTTAGATTGTCCTCGAAGCAGATGGTTATCAACCTTACTTGATATCTCCTGAAAAGGGGTTAAGATCTTTAATAAAAGGTGTTCTGGAGCTCGCAAAAGAACCTTCGCGCCTTTGTGTAGACGAGGTGATCTCACCATCCTGATATGATAGCTTTGTTTATTTGTTTTGAATGCGCACGCGTGCGCACACACATTTGCAGTTCGTGTTCCTCATGTAATGGATACCGGAGTCAGTGCTCTGGAGATGTTGAGAATCTTTTTTTTTAATGTTTGGGGAGGTGGGGGAGGGGGTGGAGTGCTGGGTAGGGGTAGCATCATTGTTAATGTTGAATGTGGACTATTTGCATTGCACAGCAGTTTCTCTATTAAGCTGAGCATCATTCTTAAAGCTGAATATGGATAATTTGCATTGCACGACAGTTTGTCTAGTAAGCTATACGTCATGTACAGTGATGGCCATAGTGTGATGCTCAGCTTTGCATGATGGCACCATATTTGATGCCATCTAAAGAAAAATGTACTAGGTAGTGGTGTTAGGTGTGCTCTAGGTTTGATGTGCGTGCACGTTTAAGATATCAGGGGAGAGACACAATTGTCTTTTCCCTTTGCCTTTCTATTATTTAACTATTAATAGTAAACCAAAAGTTCCAAAACTAGTATCAAAATTGTGGAGCTAAAGAAATTCAAGAAAAGGTTGACTGGCCAAAATTGAGTTTATAAACAGTGCTGTTATGGTTGCTTGGCTGCATTTCTGATGAGCAATTTTTTTAACCTGTCAGAAGGTAGGGCCCTTCCTAGCAAATTTCTATGACGGATTCAAAAGAGATAATGGCTTTATGCTATCTTATTGTTACTCTTTGGTCTGTTTTGTCTGGTTTGAAATAGGTTTTTACTATATATTACGATCCTTGTCCTTTAAATTTACTTGGTTCCTTATCGGGTTTGAGGATTTACCCACTAATTGATTTGCTGGCTCTGCCCTAATGTTTAGCAGACTTTAATATTAAGCATCTAAATCACATAAAAAGATGCTCACTTCTGCCATTTTGGTATTAGTATTTGTTAGCCATGCTTTAAATACCTTCCATCTCTTGGGGAGGATGTAGATTATTCTTATTGTGTTCTGGAGATCTTATGTGATGTTACCCTAGGGAACATGACACTGATTATCAATAATTTTTGTAGATTTGGTAAACTGATGGAACAAAATAGCTAAGTTGATTATTCATCTGTTTATCTTAATGTATTGACTGTTCAAACAGGTGCATCGTGTTCTGCTTGATATAGTTTCTTCTGTTGCAAATGCTACACCTGGACTAGGTAGATACCCACCATTCAAGTGTGAGGTAATTCTCCTCTCTGCGGTCACCATACATAAGTAACTAACCTGTTATTTTCCTTGTAGCATGTTTAATAGACAAATAGTTTGCCAAAATCTAATAGTTGAAAAATTCTTTCAAGGTTGTTGCCATTGCATCTGCTGCTTTGGAAAGGTTTAAAAATGAGGCCAAAAAGATGGTTGTTGCTCTAGTTGATATGGAACGTGCTTTTGTTCCTCCACAACATTTCATCCGCTTAGTTCAAAGGAGGTTAGCTCGACTTGCTCAATGGCCTATTCAATTTTATTAATGTGTGGCTGGAAGATTATGTTCTTACAAATTTTGGCTGCCCATGTGCGTTTGTGTCTAATTAAAGAACTTTTCTATATATTTGTACCACAAAGTTATCTGTCCTGCTAGATTTTTGTTTTCTCATGATGTTGAACATTTTTCTTCTTTATTCAATTGGCACCGTATTATTTTGTAGCAACAATGTAGTTCTGAATAGTGCATGGTCTAGACATTTTACTGTCGCATATTGTCTTAATTTGTGATGGTTAACAGCTAGTAGTAGCTTATCTTGAATTTTCTTTTATCAGCAGCAAGTATCCTAAAGATTCTGCCTCGCTATATTGTTCTGGTGTTTTCCACAAACACTTGCCCACACTATATAATTTTTCTTTTTCTGTTATGCTTTGCCAGGATGGAGAGACAGCGGCGTGAAGATGAGCTGAAGAATCGATCCTCAAAGAAAGCACATGAGGCGGAACAAGCCATATTAAACAGAGTTGGTTATTTTATTCATTCTCATCTGAAATACACACTCAGACACAACCTCACAAGTGCACGAGATAAAGAAACGACCTTTGTCACAGACACAAGCTCACAAATACACAAGAAAAATAAACACTCTTTGTTATGTACTTTAGTATTTCCATCTTGACTGCAACAGTCAGCTGATTGCATGTTTTTGTTTGCTAATTGTTGACAAACTAAGGCAACAAGCCCTCAAACAGGATCCCAGCAAACAGGTGGTACCTTGAAATCAATGAAAGAGAAAAACCAAAGTGATAAAGATGCGAAAGAGGGTTCAACATTACAAATTGCTGGTCCTGCTGGAGAAATAACAGCAGGTTGATTTGTTGCTACATTGATATAAATCATGAATGTTCTGTTGTATATGATTTTCTGTGTTACATGACAGATGACTGTCTGTGTGACATATCATGCATATATTTACCTTCTTGTATCCACCGGTATTGCTGTTGTTTTTGTGGGATTATATGTCATCACTGTCTATACGTCAAATTGTATATTATCGTTGAGTTTATTTATGTTGGTAGTTGAGATCTGTAACAACAATAACACTTACATGATGAATCAACTCATATAACAGACTTTACATAAAACAATATTGCTTCAGAATTGCTAAATCATTGTCAACATAAGATAATCATAAAGCGATTCTTGGTCAACATAAGATTTTCATAAAGCGATTCTTGAAAAGAAGCAACACATAAAAGGATTAAACAAAATATTGCAGTGACAACTATGTTGTTTCATTTATTATTCATCCATGTCCATCTTCTGGTTACCTTATAGTATTCTTACATTTATCTTATTTTTGTTTGTGAGGATTTATTCCATCTTCTGGTTACCTTATAGTATTCTTACATTTATCTTATTTTTGTTTGTGAGGATTTATTCCATATCTTCGCTTTTTTTTAATGTTGTATAGGATATTTGCTGAAAAAAAGTGCCAAAACGAATGGCTGGAGCAGGCGATGGTTTGTGTTGAATGAAAAAAGTGGAAAAGTTAGTATTACACTCTTTATTTTTTTGCTTTTAAGGATTGTGTTTACCTCTCAAATGAAACATGCTTTAATCTATAATGTTTTCTTCACCTAGCTTGGATACACAAAGAAGGAAGAGGAGAGACAATTCCGTGGTGTCATCATTTTGGAGGTACACTTCACCTCCACTGTTGCTTTTAGACATTCTGAATTCGCAGAAGACATTTTATTTTACTGCAGAATAAGTCCTTTATGCAGCTAAGTTTGTTGGATTATGTTTAGGGAGTCAGGGACTGTTGTAGAGGTTCTATATATTTTTTGTTAAACATTATAATGTGGGAATAAACTGAGATAGCATGCATGGTTTTTCAATCATTCTACATTTTCTAAAGTTGTCATTATAATGTGGGAATAAACTGAGATAGCATGCATGGTTTTTCAATCATTCTACATTTTCTAAAGTTGAAGCTGTAACTTTTTAACTGTAATCTTGTTCATGCATGGTTTTTCAATCATTCTACATTTTCTAAAGTTGAAGCTGTAACTTTTTAACTGTAATCTTGTTCTATGTTGTGAAAAATCCCAATTTTATTTGTATGATCTCTGATATTGATTCATGACAGTATAATGACTCTTAGCTTCTGCTAAATGAAGGGATATTAAATTATTCAAATTGGTACTTTTACTGTAATAAAATGTGGACATGTTTTTTTGTAAAAATTACCAACCAATTTATTTCAAATTTATTTGACTGAACTGATGTGTTATTGTCATGATGAAGTTACTATTTTGCAAAACTTGCAATTTATTCTACAAATATGGGGACCATGATGAACCTACAGTTCTGTTTAAAATGCCTTCAAAGTGTAATAGATTATGCTCCTAGAGTTGCATCTCTGACTACAGCAGAACCCATCACCATTGGGCTTTTGTGAGGGTAGGGATTCATGCTTTTTGAAAGAAAGCCGAGTATTAGGGTTGTGGGATGAAATTTGTGGTCTCATATTGAACATAGTACAGGTGAGTAGGCTAAAAGTATGAGATTGAAGGTTTTTGCGGTCTTATGCATCAATTGTCAGTCACTTGACCTAGTTAAGATGTATACGAGGAAGACATATCCTGTATTTTCCTTCTCTGGTTACCAGATTTCAACTAACTAAATTATTTGATGTTAGATGTTGAGTCATATACTCTTAAAGAATTGTAGGTTGAACTTGCTAGCATAAGCAGTTAGCAAGTGGGTCACTACTCTCTCATGATCTTTTCGTGTTTGTATGCCTTGTAGGACTGTAGTGTGGAAGAGGCGGATGATGAGGAACCCCCTAAAAGTTCCAAGGAATCAAAGAAAGCAAATGGATCGGATACTAGAAAAGTTTCAAATCTTGTCTTCAAGATAACGAGCAAGGTCGCTTACAAAACTGTTCTTAAGGGTAAGTTCTTCGTCAATAGATGTAAAGCTTCATTCAAATGCTTTTCGCATTACATACTTCTTCCTTGATGTTCCATGACTAACAAAATATACTGCTGATGTTGTAGCTCATAGTGCTGTTGTCTTGAAGGCTGAGAACATGGCGGACAAAGTTGAATGGGTTAACAAAATAAGAAATTTAACCCAATCATCTAAGGGAAGTGCAAAGGGACCTGGTCCTGAAACTACTTCCTCAATGAGGCAAAGCCACTCAGATGGTTCTCTAGTAAGTCTGTAACTGATTCATTTGTTGTTACTTGCTAGGCTTAGGAGTGATTACTTGTGCTGTTGCAATCAACAGATGGAATTCGTCTTGTTATTAGAGATGAAAATAACTAAGTAAACATGCTTCCTTAAAGGGGAGAAAGAACCAAGGAGAACAGAAATCCTATTTTGCCTTTTAATTCAACATTACTTTTGAGCTTGAGAAGTTTGTGTTACTTAGAATATGTTGGTGATTACATTATTCTTGAAGCTTCATGTTCATTTTTCCTCCTAAGTGGTGTGTAATTGTTATTTGGTTTTGTTATTTCTGGATTTTTAAAATAATGTAGATGATTTGTTTTGTGCAAATACTTTCTCAAAGAATAGTGGACCCTAAAACTTGGTATGAAGGCTTTATTGTTGTAAAACATGCATGTTAATTAAATGCAGATCTCCATTTTCGTAAATCATTTGCTCCCCCTTCACTTTATTTTGCAAAGAGATTCTATGCTTATGCTGATCATACATGATATTTTGGAAGTAAATATCATGTTATCTAACCGAATTCTATAAAGTGACTTTTACACCTTTCCCAGTAGAGTTTTCTGTAATGAGATTTCAAATTCTTTCTATCCCTGTGTAAATTTTAGGACACAATGACGAGAAGACCTGCTGATCCTGAAGAAGAACTTAGATGGATGTCCCAGGAAGTTCGAGGTTACGTAGAAGCTGTTTTGAACAGTCTTGCTGCAAACATTCCAAAGGTGAAAAGATTGTTTTCCCTAGATATCGCCATTATAGTTCATATTTTTATTCACATTTACAGAATCTTCCCTTAATGATTGAGCAGGCTGTTGTGCTTTGTCAAGTGGAAAAAGCTAAAGAAGATATGCTGAATCAATTGTATAGTTCTGTAAGGTTAGTCATGCATTGTTTGAAAATTTGGCTACTTATATATATGATTGCATTAACAAGACATTTTGGATTCATGATTAATTTAACATCATTGTTTATCATATAGTGCTCAGAGCAATGTAAAGATTGAAGAGCTTCTACAAGAGGATCAAAATGTCAAGCGGAGGCGAGAGAAGTTCCAAAAGCAGTCATCTCTGCTCTCGAAGCTTACTCGTCAGTTAAGCATCCATGACAACCGAGCAGCAACTGCTGGTTGGTCTGATAGCAGCGGTGGAGCAGGTAAGTTATTTGCATAAATAAGGTTAGGATGAGATTTTAAAATCGTGAGTTGCCTGCCTAATTAAAAAAAAATTCAAACTCAAAATGTATGATGGGAGTTCCTCTGATATCCAGCCACCCATCTTGAGTGGGAGAAGTATTTTCCAATATAACTTGCTTCTCTGGAGATGGCTGGATGACTTGGTCACGTGTTTGGCTTTCCACGTTTTCATAATTTGAGGGAAATTTATCTGTTAACCTTGATAGATTAATGAACTGCAAAAGTGCATAAAACTTGTTCCTCAGATTTTGGCGAGTGTGGAACCTGTGGTTTAGGGTAAAAATTCCGTAGATAGCCTCTTTGTAATATATCATTCGGTATATCATGCATGATGCACGTACCACTAATATCTGTCTATGCAATCACTATATCTATTAGTGCAGCAACGGTTGCACTGACAGATATGTGACCGCACTGATATGCTAAGGGTACTCCTCTCCTTCCATAATCCTGGCACAATATTCTGTGAAGGACCCTCTGGAGGAATTGTTTTTTTCTTTCGTGATTCGTACCCTCCAATATTCTCCATTAGTCACACCTTCAACAATGGCTTATTTTCATATGATATTTCAGAGAGTCCAAGGACACCAAGAGTCGAATCCGGTGATGACTGGAGATCAGCATTTGGTTCAGCGTCAAATGGACCATTAAGTCATTCTAACTCCACTGGTAGGTCAAGCAGTGCCAATGGTCACAGCCGAAGGCATGAGTCATCCCAGAATGGTGATGTAGGAGGATACGGACCGAACTCTGGCAGCCGCCGGACTCCCAACCGGCTGCCACCNNNGCCACCGGCACCCCCTGGCAGTGGCAGCTCCTCATCGATGTTCAGGTTCTAGCTAGGTTTCAGGTTTGAGGGTTTAGGTTCGATCATATATTCTTTTGTTACATTCAGCTCCCTTTTGCTTGTCAATGTTTCGACAAGTTGGGAGGTTCAGGCCATTCCAGGGGGTGGGAAAGAAGAAGCTTGTTTAACGTTTGTATCCTTACATATTGATATGATTTAGATGAATAGAGGAAATTTATTTCCTCGGAATAGAGTTCTGAGGATATACTGGAAAACAATACATCGGTGCCGTTGGTGCCTTTGTTTATCCATTGCCTTCAGTGTCGATTTTCGTATTAGTTCAAGGCGTACACAGTTCCCCTGTATTTCATGTTCCAGTTCATCAATCAGATGAAGACGATGCTTGTGTTCGGATGTAAAATTTTTTTGTTTTTTTGTTTCTCTTCTTTTCTTTTCTTTGTATGTTTTCCTTTGTATCTAGTATCAATGCTCTTGATAATACCGGATGAATTTAGCTGTTTCCATCTCAAATCCTCATCTTTCACTTGATTTCCCCCTTCCCTTTGTGTGCCTGAACGGAGAACATTTGCAAAGGAAGTGTTTTTTCTCTGAGCAGATTCATAGAATTAAACGGCCGTGTTGCTTCTTCTGAAGTTCACAGATCTATATTTGAACTGGCAACCTTTCAAGGTTCTGCAAAAATCACATCCTCTACGAGCATCAGAAAGGAAAAACAATGGGGCTATTTCGATTAGCTTATCGATCCCCTTGTGCTTTAATTCCTTGCGCGCCCTGAGAGAGTGAAAACCGATTGATAAATTGACCCGAGTTGAATGAGCTGAGGAATGTTGTCTGGAAACATTTTGATCAATCATGGAGACGAGCAACATGCCGAAACAAATAAATGGACGCATAAAGTCGAGAAACGTGGACAAACATACCAAATAATAGATCGATCAGAATCAGAGTTTCTTGTCAGCGAGACCAGGATCCTCGTCTGTGGTTCGTAGCGAAGGTAATAGCTACTCTCCTCTACGAGAACTCTGCACCTGCACCCAGTTACCATCATTTTTATTAGCTTCGGCCTCGGGTTCGTGCGTCGGCGACGAAACCACCCCCGGCTCGCTTTAGTCCTTCGAAGCTAAAGCTCCGGGGCCTTCGTCGGAAATTTCAGGTACACCCTTCGAAATTTACTGAAAGATACGCTGTCTAGTATCCAATGTTTCGATTTCGGACAGATTTTCAAACTCGACCTGTTTACGAACTTAATTGCAAAAATCGACATTATGTTTCCAACTTAATTTTCAAATTCGACACAAGTTTCAGCCAACTGGCTGAAACTTGGTCGAATTTGAAAAATAACGTACGAAACTTCGCGGGACTTCAAGTCCAGTGAAGTTTAGACCCCCGCTAATCGTGATTAAATAGGGCTTAAACTTCACGTGACTTGAAGTCCCGTGAAGTTTCGTAACTTTTTTTTTCAAGATCGACCGAGTTTCAGCCAACTGGCTGAAACTCGGTCGATTTTGATAAATAAGTTACAAATAGGTTGTTTTTTGTAATTATGTTTCTAAATAGGTTGCTTTTGAAAATTTGTCCTTCAATTTCCCGTGGTTGATGTTTTCCGTAGTGAGGCAAGGCCAAAATACCACTCACTGTTTAAAAATGCAAGAGGACGACCGTGCTAGACTTTTTTTGGTGAACTAGGTGGAATGTACGTGCATTGCATGTCATCAAATAATCTAATTATTTTATTCGGATTTATACTTTTTTTCTGAGAAATAGATTTATATCTTTATTGTAACTCATTTGTGAAATAGTTCGTGGTTACCATATGATTTGTTGTACGAAATAAAATCATGGTGTTAAACCTCTACTTGATGATGATGATATTTTGTAGACTAATATCTAACTTGATAATGCATTAAATTTAGTTATGCCTTACAAAATTTAGAACTTTGATCTAGCAGACATGTCAAATATTTCAACTTGTAATTTTAGAAATTTGATCTAACAAACATGTCAAAGAACTTTTATCTTATATAGCAAATGCATAACACCTAATTCTGGAACTTTCCGATTTTAAGATGAGTGTTTAGATTTTTTTTCTAGGAGCTTGTTTACAATTTTTGATTTTTAGGGACCTGTTTGTAATTTTTATTTTTTCCATAAGATCATCTATAATTTTAATATTTTCTTAGGAGCTTTACTAATTTTCAAACTTTTTTGGGGGCTTTGTAGTTTCATATTGTGCCAGGGGAAAATGAAAATTTTAGAATTTCGGAGGAGTTTATTATATTTTTTAATTTTGACATGTTTTTTCTATTTTTAAAGTTTTTTGGGAAGTTATTTGTTATCTTTGAATAATAAGTGGTTCTTTATAGTTTTAGATTATTCAGAGGGGTTATCGAAGATTTTTTTATTTTCAGGGTGTTTTTTATTTTCACTTTTTCCAGGGTATTTTTTGCAACTTAAGATTTTTGGAAGTTTGTTTTTAATTTTTTTAAAATTTTAGAGCATTGTATGTAATTACAAGTTGTTCATGGAACTGTTCAAATTTTACTAATTTTCAAGGTATTTTTTAGATTGTTTGATGTCTTTTTTTATAGTTTTTTTATTTTTAAGGGATTTTTTGTAATTTTTAAAAATTTTAAGGTATTGTATATAATTTCAAGTTGTATAGGGGACTATTCAAACTTATCATACTTTAGGATGAGTTTTCTAGTTTTTTAAAATTTTCAGTGAGGATGTTGTTAGTAATTTTTAAATTTCATGGTTTTGCTTGTACTTTCATACTATTCAGAAGGTTATTTAAAAATTTCATATTTTCCAGGTTGTTTTTATAAATATCCATGTAAACTCTTATTTATTGGCTTTGTAGAGCATATATCTTTCCGTCTCCCACTTGCACTCAAAACCAATTTGATATAGATTTCAAATCGATCTTATCAATATATTTCTTATACACCTTTTAACTTAAAGGTTTAGTCAATGAGTTTGCCACATTATCAACAAAAGCAACTTTAAGAATGTTTATGTTTGCTCTCTTGCCAAGTTATACTTTCATTCGATGTGTTTTGAATTATGATGAGCCCTAAGCACTCCAGCTTGGGCAACCTGCTCTGATCAAAATACAAAGCAATGGAATATTCGATAGTCGAAAAAAACCTAACTCTTGACGAATTTTTTAAAACAACTTATTTTGCTGCTTCACAAGGTGCAATATGCTCTGCTTCAATTGTAGAATCAACTATAGTTTTTTACTTACAACTATTTCAATTAATAGTTTCATTATCTAATGCAAAGACAATACCTGATGTAGATTTTCTATCGTCTGGATCCCACAGGAAATTATACTCAGGTATCCTTCAACTTTTAAAGGATCACCACAAAACACCTAACTACTTTTTGTTGCTTCACAACTGCAATTATCTTTTGTTTAGTTAATATATTTAAAGAAATATTTAACTTTGGATAGATATCTACTAACTTCACTTATTTCTTGAGCAATATCTGGCCTAGTACACAACTTTGCATATAAGACTATCTGCTTATTGAAGCATACATGCATTACTTTATTCTTTCTAATACCTTATATGTATAAGGTGATATTTCCTTAGAAAGAGCAACTTCATATCCCGAGTAATAAGTTTCTTCTTTGAACCTTGCAAGTTAAACTTGGCCACTATCTTATCAATATAAGTTGACTGGGACAATGCTGTTAAGATGTTAGCTCTATCACTATAGAGTTTAAGTCTCATATTATACGCTGGCTCGTCCAAATCTTTCAAGAGATTTTGTTAACAAACATAATTTAACAGTTGATAACGTTCTAATTCATTCAAACATTTCAATGTTATTTGATAAAAGTTAGTTTTTTAGTTAGAAGTATTTTATAAAATCTTTGATAGAGAATTTATTAGATAGCTATGACGTTTGTACTTTTTAAGACTTTTCAAAGGTCGTTTGAAAAATAGGAATATTTGGTAGTAGTTTCAAATAGTTCAAAGGTTTGATTGAAAATTTTAGATTTTCAGGATTTTTTTTTTTTTGAGTTTTTTATGTTATTTTAGATTTTGGAAGTCAATAAATTATAAAATTTTAGGTTGTTATATGTAATTACAAATTATTTCCAGAACTGTTGAAAATTTTATGATTTTCAATTTTTTTAATAAATTTTGAATTTTCTAAGGTATTTTTTTATAAAATTAAGCTTATTCAAGGGGGTTATTTGTAATGTTTTAATTTCTAGGGTGTTGTATATAACTTCGATTTGTTTAGGGGACTGTTCAAAAGATTTCATTTTTAGGGTTTTTTTATAAATTTTGAAATTTTTGGTGAGGAAGTTGTTTGTAACTTTCAATATTTAGGGTTTTGCATGTAATTTCATATTGTTCGAGAGGTTGTTTGTTTTCAAATATTCAGTTTTTTTTTGTATTTTTAGATTTTTGGAGGTGTTTTTTTTAACTTTTAGCTTTTTCATAGGGTCCTCATATTTGTGATTTTTAGAATTTCTAAATGGCGATTTGTAATCTGTAGTTGTATAATGGATTGTTTATAATTCTTGAAGTTATAAGGACTTTTTGGATTTTTTATTTTTAAGGCATTGTTTGTAATTTTCTCATTTAAGTGTGCATTATATATATTTTAGATTTTTAAGAACATTGTTTATATTTTTTGGATTGTTAAGAATATATTAAAGATATTTCTATTAGTTAGGATATGTCACAAATAATGTATTATAGATCTATTTAAAGAGTTCTATTAATTTTCAAAACATCAAGGGTAGTATTGTCCATTGGAAGTTTTTCAAATTTTGAAGTTATATAGACTTTTTTGGATTTTTTTTTTAATTTCTAAGGCATTGTTTATAATTTTCTCATTTAAGAGTGTTTTATATAGAACATTGTTTATATCTTTTGGATTGTTAAGAATATGTTAAAGATATTTCTATTAATTAGGATATGTCACAAATTTGTCCTTCAATTTCCCATGATTGATGTTTTCTGTAGTGAGGCAAGGCCAAAATACCACTCACTGTTTAAAAATGCAAGAGGACGACCATGCTAGACTTTTTTGGTGAATATATAGCTGAAAGAAATAGTTGCACGAGTTATGAAGAGTGATAGGATTTATTGAGGCAATCTGTGCACAAGCACAAGAAAAACTACATGACATTTTCCTACAATTTAGTCATATATATTTCCAAATCCCAAAAGGTCTTATGATTTTTATGCTAGAGCAGTGTTATATGTCATTAAACATCTAGCACAGTTTACGTAATGCTTTGAATATCAATTGGGTTTTATTGTTGCACACATTGATTGGGTATCTTTTAAATAGTTGTGGCATGATCTACGAAAATTGTTTTGTTCGATCATGTACTATGATGGCCGCTTGCTTGGAGATGTGATATGATTTGGAAATTTCTTAAACTTGTGCTTAACCTATAGCTAATAAAGGATAATTTTGTTATAACAGGTTATTATGCATGCCACTGACATGTGAGATATGGTGATGAGTCTCAACCA